ACACACACACACACACAAATGCGTAGATGCAAGTGAACACTGAGCCATGTAATGATACCATGAAGCCCTGTGTAGCCAAAGAGTGGGAGCTCCTCTTGCCTTTGATGTCTCCATCCAGGAGGGGGAATTGGCTCATTAGCATTCTAACCAGAACCGTTGCCCATTTAGCACTAGGCTTTAACTAGACCACCCAAACAAATCGTTGTTCACAGGTTGGGCCTCCTTTCACTGATCCAGTCGAGGAGCGGGGCACATGCATGGTTGTTTTGTACGTCCTGACTCGGGCTAATTTGGCCACGGGCTGCTAACGCTCACTGAACTCACCAGCCTTTGTCATTGCTTACATAACATAGGCTCTAGTGCTGTGTGCCCCCAGCTCTCCCCAGTTAAGTTTCCTAAACAGTGGTGTGAGTAATTGCAAGTACCAACACATTGTAATATATGGGATTAATTATGTTTGCTGTGATTATGCCTGGCTGTGGTGGTGCTCATGTGGCTCTTTGCTCTCCTCTGCTACTAAAGATGTCATCAGATGTAGACTCACAATGACATGACAAGGCAATACTTAGTGGCTGTGCTGAGAGAATAATGTGCATACAAAGGCCTGTAAATTACAAATCTAATTAACACAAGGAGCATAATGTCCTGGCTTCGACCTTTGGGTGAAGTGTGAGAACTTATAATACATTTATCCGACCACAGAAGAACAAACATCAGCATTACAATTTCAGCAGAACTGTGCAGTGTCTGCAGGACTGGCTCTTACGACAGAGTGATCCAGCATGCTTAAGAAAAGAAAATGTATCCAGTTTTGGACATGTTTGGATAATCCTTTATCAAGATTCCTAAGTGCTTCACCGTGCTTATCTCTATCTCCATTCGTTATGCAAAGAGCTCTGTTTTCTTTTCCTGTCACCTCCAGGTGAACCATTATCCTCTGTCTGGGTCCTGCCCGAGGCTTGTTTATTGAGTAGATTGGAGGGGACGGGGGCATGGTGCTCTGTGCAGGGGGGAGGGGTTTAGGTCGAGATATAGAATGGTGTTGTGTGACGGTTTGGGCTTGATGGCCTTATGTCCCTGTCGCAGATCATCGCAGACCATCTCAGCTCCCTGGAAGCCCCAGAACTCCCCTATATGATTAATCACTCAAAGATGACATATTATTCGCATAACTCATAAATTGCACACTATGCTTGACGGATGGTCCTCAGTTCACAGATGGTAGTAACAGCCATTAGCATAACTTATGACAGAGATAGTGTATTTCCCTGTGGAGTAGCCTAAATAATGTAAAATGATAAATGTAATGCAAAGATTCCTCAGTCAGAGCGGTACCCTCGGGATTTACTTATCTCCTCATATTTAGTGGGCAGTTAGTTACACTCTCATCTAGGTCCACCTTGTATTTGTGCTGTAATGTTCCCTGTGCTTGTGTCTGAGACGGCACCGATATAAATGTGACTGTCTTCCTCTTTGGGATTATCCCTGCTGTTAAGAACTATTCACCAGGTAAACTCACAGCATAAATACATTTTTATTCTCTTTCTTTGTTTATATGATAAATTGTGTAAAGTGTGTATATATACCTCTCATTTCAGTAGGTTGTGTTCTGCACAGGGCTTTGCATTCATACTCTTAATGCTTGCTTTTCCTAGCACCATCCAAATATGGGAGTGCCC